TGATTGTCCGCCCAGGTGGACCTCCACTTACTAGGGTTTAACCGATGACTTCCGATGCTTTGACTTGATGATGACAGAAAGTGATAGATGTTCAGTAATTTTGAGTTTGGATCTTATCACAAGTCCAGTCATCTCTCAATGCATGGCAGTGACAATGACCACAGCTCCAAGTCAGCCACAAAACCAGGAAAGGACACAGCCCATGTTCCATAGTGAGCTGCACTGCTAAGTTGTGATGTCCAGTAGGCAAGGTATATTTGGTGAATTATGATAGTTTCAATTTTTGAAGGGGGGTTGGGGATGTAACCCCATCCTAAGTTAAGGGGCATGTATGTCTTGCCTCCTCTAGCCTGGTGTCCCAAGCCTCCATCAGTGGCAAGTCCGGGATATTTCTTTTTAGCATCTTTCACTAACACATCCAGCTGAGAAGATTCACTGACCGCTGCTCTCAGGTGCCCTACACCTTCTTCTAGATATTGGGACAATGCCCTGTGGCTTGTTTTCTCCCACTTGCCTTAGTTCCAACCCTACTGGTCCTTCAGGGCCCAGGCCCAGTGTGTGCCTTCTGTGATGCCTTCCCAACACTCCTCAGCCAGACAGATGCTTTTCCCTCTCTGTGTTCCTGTGGCTTCTTGCATATTTTTATGACATTTCATCATTTCCCAGCTTATGTTGTTATAATATGATGCATGGCTCATTTCCACTTATTAAGTATAAACCCCCGCAGGCTGGGGCTTGGCCTTATGTAACTTTGCTTTTCCCAGCAGGCCCAGCCCTGTGTTAGAGGAAATATTTGTTCAATAAAAGAAGGAATAAAAACCAAGAGAAAGAACATTGCTATTTTCCTGCTCCCCTCTACTGCCTTAAAGAGAGAGTGGTGAGGTGTTTTGGGCTGAGAGAGCAGGGAGGAGTGAGCAAGCGACCATATTTATAGGTGACTAATGCTTTCCAAAGGAAATGAAAAATTTGCAATCATTACTACTTTGCAAAGCTTTATTTTCCCTCTTAAGGGCCAGCCCGCCAATTTTGCAATCTGAAAAATAACAGAAGGCCAGCAGCACATGGAAGGCCATCCCCACAGTCTCAGTGGCTATTTTTAGGTCACTGTAACGTTGTTTGGGCAGTGAACAGCTTCTCCAGCTCAAAGATCCTGCCGATTTTCTCATCTATGTTTACTTCTTATGTTCCCTCTGGCCCAGGTCCAGGTTCCTCACCTCATTAGTGTGATGCCATTTCCCCACTGCACTTTCCAAGTTGGCCTACCTAAGGGCTGACCCATGGCCACTTCCCTACACATCTCCATGGGTAGCCACGGCTTGTGGAGCTTGCTGATGGCCATCTGTGTTATGAGGGCCATGGGCTCCAGAATGCTGTGCAAAGCTGAAGATGGCAGGCAGCCCTAACCGGGAATAGACAGAAAGAGCAGGATAAAATGCTCTCTTTACAAGAGTATTTGATTTCTTTTTTTTTTTCCTTTGATATTGGGAATCGAACTCAGGATCTTGTACTTGCCAGGCAGGTGGAGGAATAACTGAGCTAAATCCCCGGTGAGTATTTGATTTCTTCTAGTGAACAAAGTGGGGGAGCTTAATGGCCCAAATCTTGATTTACTACTTCTCATTAGAAATTCAAAGACCAAATCCCAAATCATTGCAGCTTCCCAGCACTGGGACCCAGCTCATCACATTCCTGATGGTGACAGGTTTCCATCCCTTCCCTCCACTGGCTTCATCGCCATCACTTTATTGGCCCGGCCAAGCACAGAGCTGAGCAAAAACACCACAAAAGATTTGTGAAGTACAGAGATTAGGGCAAGCTTCCTGGGCTGCCCACCATCCAGCATTTAACGAGGTGGCTTGGTACATGCAGTGAGTGTAACCAACACCTGCCATGTGAACCCAATGGAAAGAGAATGGGTTTTGCCATAAGGGGACCTTGGCTTAAGTTGGCTTCGGTCTCACATTTGCTTCCCTGACCTCTGCCGCATGACCTCAGGCATGGACCACTGGAGCTCCGGTTTTCTAAGGCCAGGTGATCTCTAAGTCACCATCCATTACCCCCACTCTCTGACTTCACTTGTGAGTTGCTTGACAGTGGCTCCTAGCAGCTGACTAATCTCTGCTGTCTGAATTTCCACAAATGCCACCACCCTGTGGACCTAGCCATCTTGCTCCTTTTTCTACTCCGATGTCCACACTTGGGTCAGAAACATCTCATCGTCACTTTACTTACACAAACCACAACATTAACTCTCTGATTGACACTTTTTTCTTGGAAAAGCCTTCGGCTCATTGATGTGGATTCATTTTCTCACTTTTCCCTGTCCTCCGGCTCAGCTGGCTCCTCCCGCTTTTTCCTGGAGGTCCTTTCCGCATCTCTGTTGTTCCTACTCTGTCTGTGGTGTCAGTGTAGACAACTTCTCCCTTCCCTTTAGAAAGTCAGCTTTGAACACGGCAGTGTGTGCCACAGCCCTGAATTTGCCTTTTCTCCAGTCTCATCATTCTGCTCCCTGCCAACTGTTCTCGCTCCTCCTTCCCAGAGAGTCCTCAAGCACAGTGGCCTTTGTGCACCTCACTGCACCTTTGGTGTCTTAGCACAGTGCCTGGCACCCGGGAACAACTGAAGGGACAGAGGAGGCACTCGTAGCCACCTCCATCCTACTGTATCTTCTTTCCCCAACCTCCTGGGAGGCCCGCATCTTCAGAACACCTATCCTGGTACTGCCAAGCCAAGATTTTGTGGCCACCACCTTTCGCCTTTGTGGCCCCTACAGTTTTTTTCAGTAATAGCGGTGGTCTTTGTTGCTCTTTAGTCCCCAAAGAGGAAAAGTTAACAGGCCAAAGGTACTTATATAAAAACTCCAACAGTTCTACTTGGCAAAAAGTTGAAATCTATAAAAACAGAGCATACAAATTCATGTTTAGTAAGCCATCTTTTACTTGCTTTTTTTTTTCAAAAAGTGGATAAATATCTCTATAGGACCCCATGCCAGGTTCCAGACACTGCAGGAATTGATTCTTTTGGGTTAAGTCATATATGATGGACACATGAAACATATCCCACACCACTTTTCAGTCTATGTTACTGTAAGGCACTGCTTAATAATCACATAACTTTTTCTCCCTCAAGCTTCAGAATCTTCCTTAACACAATGCTTCAGATATCAACTGCTGCACCAGTAGATCCCCAGTGGTTCCCTAACAATGAATGTAACTGTACTGTATCCCTAAAATATACCAATAAACTCAATTAAAGCTGAAAAAAAATGTCTTGTTTTTTTAAATTCAAAGCCCCAAAGGCTGAAGTACAATGTAGAGTACTGTCAGACTGAGGTAAATTATTGAGCAAGTGCTTTCTTCAAGACAGGAAAAGCAAAGCCTTAGGGTACTCAGGAAAGAGGGGTGCGGACAGAAAGGAGGAGAGGATGGCACAAAAGGGTTAGATAGGAGCCAGCATGTGAGCCATGGGCACCACATTTCTTCATACTATGACAAGCACTGGTGAAATCCATGATATAGCCTCAAATTGTGTTGGACACTTGATTACCAACTGAGGGCTTTTGAATGACTGGATCATACGGAATCTAACCCTGTTAACTAGATTAATCCACTGATAAAATTGTAATTTGAGAGCATTATTTGGAGGTGATGAAAACAGGAAGTGGGGCTTAGTTGAAGGAAGTGGATCATGGGTTATGACCTTGAGGACCATATCTGGCCCCTTTCCTCTCTGGCTTTTTCACTCCCTGCTTCCTGGCTGCCATGAGGTGAGTGGCTTTCCTCCACCACACCCTTCCACCATGATATTTTTGCTTCCCCACACTCTGAAAAGCAATGGACTGAAACCTCTGGACTCATGAGCCAAAGTAAACTTTTCTCCCTTTAATATTTTTTCTTCAGGTATTTTGTCAGAGTGACAGGAAGCTAACTGACACACAGGTGCTGCTAAAGTCCAGGTCCCTTGGAATGTGATCTCACACTTGCTTCCATCCCTGACAGAGCACCACACTAAATTTCAATCCCTGCGTTGGGGCAATCATCAAGACTGTCACATGGACAGTTTGTGTCAGTCTCGAGGAGGAACACTGACTGGCTTCCGACCTGCAGGTCTTGGGCTCAGCACAGCCCTTTGGGAGCAAAGATGTGGTACTGGAGGAAAAGGCTACAGAGCAGAGAGGGAGTCTCCTGGTCAGGGAGCTGGTGGAAGTGCAACCACCTTCCTTGACCATTAGGCAACATTACTGGGAATGAGGATTGCCAGGTGACTGAATGATGAAATCCAGGCCAGCAGCTTGAGTATCTCTCATGCCTCCAGCAAGGCTGAGCTGCAGGCTTTGGGTGATGGTACAAAGACCCACTAGGTGCTCTAATGCCAGGTGTGGATGCATATAAGCTCACAATGATACGGAAACAGGAATGGTCAAAATCACTCCCCTACCTATCAAACGCATTTTTAGATGGAATATATGTTAGATACTTCAGATCATCCAGCCATTCAAATATTTTAATTGTGAATGGAAACAAAGATGAACTTTTCTTGAGAAAGCAACATGTATGGCTTTAAAATGATTGATTCTTCATGGGGGAAGAGAGGAAGTTATGACTTGTGTGCATGCACACCTGCGTGTTGCCTCCCATGTGTTTCAAAATCAAATAATACACTGGGTGTGATGGTGTATTGTCTGTAATTCCAGCACTATAGGAGGATGAGACAAATTCAAGCCCCGCCTGGGCAACTTAGTGACCTAGAGAGACCATATCTCAAAATAAAAAAGAAAAAGCTTTGGAATACAGCTCTGTGCAAAGGTCCTAATTTTAATTCCCAGTATGAAAAAAATGTCAAGCAATAAGAATCCTTCTTACCTGGAAATTTAAAGATGGTCAAATCCCCATTAAACCAATACAAAGGGACTCTGACACAAAGGGTGGTGTGCTTTCATGGAGTATGCATCAGGGTCTTGAGTGACAAGCTTAAGAGGGCTTTCGCTGTGGAATTCCTACCTGCTGATGTAGCCAACGCTGCTTATAGCCAACAAGGTGAGTCCTGTCTTCCTCGGTGGATAGTGATGAGGTCTGAGGATGATTTCAATCAGTGAGAATAAGAATATGAAAGAGTGCTGCAGGAGAAAAGGTAAAAAATCATAAGGACAGGGCACGCTGAGTGCCAACAGTAATCCTCTTCCCTCTGCATCTCTGTGTACACAAAGCCAGGCAGAACAACCCTAAACTTGGTTTGTGTCAAGCTCCAATGATGCCCAGGGACCTATTTCCCACCACACTGGTTCTCACTCCTCTGTCTGGCTACCAAGACTCTGAAATGTTCCATCACCTTCTCTGTCCTGCTTATTGAGCATCGCTTCCGTTTTCTAACATATACACACATGTATGCACACACACATTCACACACACAAACACACATCCCCTAACATGTACGTACAAAAGCATACACACTCACACTCATTAGCACACTCCTACGTGACTGCACAGTCTATCTCTCTCTCACACCTCCATGCTTCTTCTCCCCTGGAACAAGGCAGTGTCCCTCATTGTCCTGGTACCCTTTGTGCTGCTGCCACTTCCAGACTTGTGTTCTTGTCTCCTTTCCCTATGCAGACCTTGTGTTCTCTCCCTCCAGTCTGACCCGCCATGTCCTTGAAGCCAGTGCAGTCTTCCCCAGTGCTTTCTTCTTGCTAATTCCTCTCTTCATCCTCCTGCAATTATGGCCTGTGCCACATGGTCTAGCACTTACGACAGATATGCATAAACTGGGTTGGAGTGCAGAAAACCTGCCATACTATCTCCCCACACCCCACTCCCCACTGTGGGACTGAGCTTGGCTGTGCTGAGGGTGGCGGGTGCCATGGGGTTTTCATAAGTGTCCCTCTGAAACCTTCCATGCCTCCCTCCTTCCCTGCACCACCCCCTCCTCATAACCATCTGCTTACTCACATTTTCCAAACCCTTAAAACAAGATTTTTTTAAATGCCCTAAGCAAGGAAATCCACCTTTAGGAATAGAGGTGTAGATTCAAGGGTTCACTCACTTCTTGGTCATCCAGGAAGTTCACTGGGGTCAATGAGTGAGATGGTCCTGAAAACATTTACAAAGTCCTCTACCACCCTCAATCCTTACAGGTAATGTTCAGTAGCATTACTGTGTTCTCTTTGTCACCGTCATACCCATCTCGCCTCCTTTACTGCTCCAGTTGCCACAGCTCTTCACAACCTCTTGCATGCAGACCCTCACTATCAAGCCCCATCTCAGGCCTGATCCTGAGCCCCCCAGGTGGCTGCCAGTCCCTCAGTTCCAGCAGTCCCTGGGCTTGGGAGTGTCACCGAGCTCCTGTGCCAGTCTGTGCAGCTGAAACTCCTGTTGTGATCCCAGGCACCCTTTGCTGTCTGTCCCATGCGTCTCATATGCAGGATGTATCACCAGGAGGCACTCCTGGCTTGCTCCAACCTCAGCTAAGATACCGAGGGCCCAATCAGGAGATCAAGACCACTCTCAGATGCCAGAAATAGGATGTTTCGATGGAACCAGGGTGAGGTAAGAAAGACCAAGCCTTAAGGATAAGGATGGGGCCATCGCTGGGTGGACAAGGCCCTCTGGGGTGCTTAGGAAATATCGCAGCTGGGTGACACAGGCCACCTCTTCAGGGCCTCGAGGCCTTATTCCACAGAAATAGAATTGCTGAAAACTATTGCTTTTCCATACTTTGTCTGGCATTGGTCTGGCTGGCTGGACAGACAAATGGAAGAAATTCCAGGCCCACTCTCATGTCTTACTCTTTTCTTTGGTCTGGTTTTAGGCTGTTTCTGTGTCTCCCCCAATAAGGAAGTGTGATGTTTAAAGACACATACTCCCAGGCAATGGGTTACTTTCAGGATGTCTCTGAACTTCAGATTGCACATCACCGAATGGGGGCAAATAAACAGTAAGGACTTCAGCTGAGGTAAGGGCACAGAAAGGGCTTCCAGGGAATGTTGGTTGTGATTTTTCACTATTACCAATGACGGTCATCCTTCATGGCAGTGGTAGGCCCAGGAGGGAGCAGGGTTCTGGGACACCCAGGCTTCAAGCAGTAGGTATCCCTTGGCTTCCATGTCCCCTGGCCTGTGGTTGGCAGGATGCTGCAGCATGCACAACTCAGAAGGTGGGAGCAGAGCCCTCTTGGGTCCCCTTCCCTGCCCATGGCTGGTGCCACATCTCATAGCTACGGTGGCCCCAGGATCCTGACAACACTCATGAGTGACACTTATGCTGTCTTTATCCAGAGGCCACCTCCAGAGACAAGAGATGGAACTGTCTGTCTGGTGCAGTCACCTGTCTGCCTTCCCTCTGCTGCAGGCAGGAGGATCCAGCTTCTATTAAGAGCCATTAACAGACTCATTATGCTGGCCATTGATCTGACAGATTTTATTACCCTCACCCACAATCAGCAGCTCCCGGTTCTCTGCATTAATGATCACTGGGAACAGAATTCCCGTGGAATAATGTAGTGTGCTTGCATTAGGAGTAAATGAGTTCATAGTGATTAATACTTTCACAGCAAACAACTTGGGAATGCATGGCTGGTCAACTCTTTGAGGAGCCTGCCCTTTGCTAGCAACATTCAATTGGATTTCCAGATGAATTCTCCCTGATGGCTTCTGGGAAATTTACTTCCGTGATGTCCTTAGTGATGGGCCATAGACTGTGGCTTCAAACCAGCTAAAAGGTCTCTAAAAGGATCACATTTTCTGGTTGGGGCTGGGAGTGGGCATAAGCAAAGGAGGAAGACCACACTCTCAGTTTTCTGAATACTGAGCTGCAGTAGACTGGAGCCTGGTATTGCACATCTACTGTAATTTTACTTCACTTTGATATAAATTACATAACCTTTGTCGGATAGTACATATTTCCCCCCCAAAAAAAGAAGGATAAAAAGCCAGTAGCAGAAAAATCAAATATGCTTTCTGCTTCCAAAAAATCTAATAATTAGGCTAGGATTGACACAAATTAAAATGCTGCCAAAAATACTGAAAACAGTGACTCATTCTGTATTTCAATTAACAGTTTCTCAGTTTCCCTTATAAACAGTGAAGCTGACAAAAATTAATTATCTCAGAGGGGTAAAATATTTCTTTCCAAAGTAAACAAAGCATCATGAGCTGAAACAATAGCATGTGTAAACAAAGGAGAGGGAGAGTGGTTCCCCTGACTCTTCGTGAAGTCATGATTTGGGTAGACTTTTCTTTAAATGTCCCCTTCTGAATGTACTGGGCATAAGGACAGTGTTCTTTTTACCTCGTCCTTTTCTCCTGCCATTATCCATCCCTTCCCCTCCTATCCTTTGCATAATGCCAACTTTTATCTGAATATATTAGACACAGCTATAAGCATGAAATACTGATTCCAGTACTAGTATAAGAAGTGCACTTTAAAATCTCTGGGTGCAAAATAGCCTTGTGGTGAATAGTAACATTTAGCAGCCCACAGAACATTCTTACGTGATTGCATGAGTAGTCAATTGGAAAAAGTGACACCGACTTGACGCTTGTTTCTACTCATCCTAGCAGATAAGTAGGTGTTATAAACAGTTTTTCTGCAGAGGGCGTTCAGTGACAGTGGTGACATTTGACCTAACTCGAGAAAGAGATGAGCCTTAGTCACCGAGATAACCCAGGAACCCACAGTTCTTCTTCAGGGTCATGGAGAGTTCAGGGGCTGCATCCATGAAGACTGATAATATGCTTTTCCTAAGGTTCTTAAGGCTCAGGATCCCTTGATTTTTCTCAAGAGAAAGGAATTCAGAAATCTACACATTATAAAATTCTATGAGGCAGGCATGGTAGCTATCATCCCAGAACTCTGGGAGGCTGGGGCAGGAAGATCACGAGTTCATGCCCAGCCTGGGCAACTTAGTGGCTTAGGAAGACCCTGTTTGAAAATAAAACATAAAAGGGAATGGGGAATAAAGCTTCGTGCAAAGGCCTTGAGTTCAATCACCAAAGATTTTTTTTAAAAAGCAAATGATAATGTTTTAAAATGTGATCTCTGCTTCTTTCCTCTGTTCCATTTATTGGCTGAACTATCTTATGTGTTAAATTGAATTGAGCTGACCACACCAAACTAAGGAGCAAGCTTCCGGCCTCTCAGCCCAAGCATTAGAAATAATGGGCCAGCATCGCTCTGCCACTTCTTATGTGCCTCAGGCCTCCCATCCTTTTCTCTGTTTGGGGGACACTTAGATTAGAAAATTAACCTCTGATATTGGCTCCATCCAAACTATGGCCTTCCCTCCAAGTCCCCAACAAAATGCTTCTGGTTTGTTTTGGGAGCTGATGGATAGAGACCTTTAAATGAAGGTTTAATTCATTAACAAGATTTTTTTTGGTTTGGGAGTACATGAAAGAAGATTTCTGTGCTTATGTTATATTAGATATTTATTTACAAAATGGAAGTCTTCACAAATACTCCTTGGGGACAGACAGACGGTCAAAACATCAAATCAAACACGAGATGCAGAAATGGAAGCAAAAGCAACCTTAATAGAGAATCGTTACACCCCGGCCTCTGTTGCTTTGCCAGATCTTGCTCCTTAAGCTTGAAACCTACACAGTAAAGACAGGCAGTGTTAGCCATTCTGTAAATTCGGCTAAGGTAACCCCTGGTTCTGCTGTTGCCTTCCATTTTCTGGCTAAGAACTCCCTCCTCACTGAACCCCCTCTCCTACACCCTGTGCTTTCTGCCTCTAACTTCCCACAGGTCTAGGAGGGTCTTGGATGCTCCTCAGGGAATATTTTGTATCCCAAAGCAGTGCTTATCTGTATCCTGTCTGTCCTTTACATTGCTAAAGTTGTAGTTTTGCTTGATGTAAACCTGATATTGGGAAATTAGGAAATATATACACAGGATGCAGAACTTATATCTCCATGCGACTTAAACAAAAAAAATCTTCCAACTACATTTCTTGCAGGATTTTTTTTTTTTGTCTCAAATGCTGAAGTTTTGAAAGAATTTGATTTTAAAAAATTTCTTTCCATTTTCTAAGAATTCAGGGTCAAGGCTGCTCTGTAATGAGAGTCCCTGTTAAAATGCTTGGGGTTGGGCTGGAGGAGACTGCACAACCCCAGAG